GATAAAATTAATTTCTGTTACAACTGGAATTGCGTATTAGCTTCTTGATGCATTCCAAACAAACAAATACCTGAATCGATCTTGTATCCCCGGCATCCATCAATCCAAAATCGAACTGCGACTGATCAATTGAATATAAATAAACCTAAATTTATCAATATCAGTTCACTCACAAAATCGTATAAGTCACACAAAATATAACATAATTATAAATGTTTATAATCCACACACACACAAATAATTTCTAACGTTAATTTGATACGATATTTTGCAACAAAAACTCCAAGAAGTGAATATTCTATGATAAATTCACTGCCCAATAAAATTTCTTTTCGAAAAATTAATTGTCCTCAAAAAATAATCGAAAATTTTCAATGCAATCAAAAAGAGATCAAGCGGAACGAGGTCGAACGAGAACATCGAATAGAAATCACTCCAAAATGTACCCGCAATTTTCCGTTAAAAATAACGATCGGTATAGAGAATGTGGTGACGTTGGTGTGAAGAGTGCAATGCGATGTGAAATCATCTCTTTCTTTTTTCGCGTACTTCAACCAAAACACCGGTCGAGATTCGCCTGCTTCCAACGTCACCACTCGACTCAAAAGTTTCACCTGCAGAGGATCGATTAGTTCAGAATTCCTTCAATACCAGAATTTATAAAATGCCAAATTGAAATTAAAAGTTTTAATCCGAACTAACTGAAATAATGAGATTTGCAACAAAAAAAAGCAATAGTAAATGAAATATTAATAAGGATGGAACTAACAACAAATGATTTTTGTGCATTTTTACCCAGTGAAATGTTCCAAATGGCGATACCAAAAGGTAAATTATTCGTTAATGAAACACCGTGCGATACGGGTGGCTCTAACTGACTATGGAATGCAGTTTCATCTGCACTTTGATCCAGCGATCTGAAACTATCAGGAGTGATTTCAATTGCTCACTACACACCATCCAGCAAACACAATCAACTCACACTCACCCTCTATAAACAGCAGCAACGTAAGGAACAGAAACGTTGTAATTACCACCGCGACTGTCCGCGATAATTCTCCCCTTATATCGTAACAATTTCGCTCCTTGATGCGTCGGTGGCTTCAGCAGTTTCGAATCGAACGTTATTTTGGCTATCGCTTTAGGTGCGCCTTCAATCAATATTTGCTTTGCACCAAACCGTTTATCGCAACTCATAGCTAATATCGTTATTATTAATTCTGTTTTAAAAAACTCTGCTGAATTGTTTTTGAAAAATACGATCAATTCAAGTGAATATTTGCAACATCACAAAAAATACTCGCTTTATATTGTTCCTGTCGTTCTCACAATCCACCTCTAAATAATCACCCCAACGATAATGCATTCTCAATCAATCATACCTGGCTGTTGCCTAGCGCCACATTTAATTGAAATCGGAGGCTTAGAAGCGAACTCCATATAGATACCATTTGGTTGATCGTTTCTTTCCACGTATAACGACTGCAAACAACTCATCATTACTCTCATCTCACAACAAACAAAAAACAACCGCTTTTTTATTATTCTCATTCACTATTTCATAAATATCACTTCCAAACAGTTCAAAAAAAATGTTTTCCCCTTTTCACAAATACTCAGTGTACAATTAAATTCAAGTCACGACAACATATCATTATTTATTTGAACATCGCAACATTTCCCAATAAAACCAGAAATCATTTCGATCAGCAAGAGACTCACCTCGATGTCAATGCCTTTTTCAAGTGTCGAAATAATTTCGAGAGTTAACTGCGGTGATTTGTCACCCCACTTTATCAATCCAAAATCTAACAAATCCACTGTGGCAAATATTCCTCGTTTTTTCGTTACTTCCACCTGCAAATCCAATGAATTTCACAAATTTCCCAAGTTCATGAACAATTTCCTCAATTCTCAAAAACGTTTGGCCAGAATTTTCCAGCCGTACGTTTGTTTCCATACGCAGCACAAAACAGCATGAACAATCGATTACCCGTCTTGAGACGACGACATCAACAACATGAACAAATAACGATAAAATGTTAAAAAGCAACCTCAAGAGGTACAATCAGTGTTTCTTCGGATCGTTCTTGCTCTTCATCCGCATCATTCTCGCCGTCCGTTATGCCGATTCTATTTCGTTTCCTCTTCAGATCAGTTTTTATTTTGATGAAGGCGTTTGCGTTCCGTTCTTTTGCAGCCAACATCTTTGCGTTCATCACTGTTTTTGTCTGATATGGTGCTATTTCCTGAAACAATTCTCGTATCCACTCTCCGAACAACTACTCATTCATAACAACTACACACTCATTTTTTCACTGAATGCATATTACGTAAATACCTCATCAGTATCACACACCAGTGTTTGTGCACGATTCTCGGATCCTAATTCTGAACTACCGAACCAGCGATTTACTTCCTAAGAGATCCCGGGGCTTCGAGATTTGATAAAACACGCATTTCACATAATTTTGGTGGTATACTCGAAACTAAAAACTGATTGGTTGTCGATGAAATGAAAGCAAAGAAACAACAATCGAATCGCAATCTTCAGTTCACAAGCGAACGAACCCATAAATTGCTTTTAATGGCCGCGTTATCGACATTATCAGATGAGAGCAGTGGTAACTCGAGGTGAAGATCAGCACCACTCGTGTACATTTCGGTGATACGCAGTGTGTTCGGGTGTGGGTTGTGCAGTTGCACGGCCGAGATGAACGTGCCGTTCAGAGGCACCTTCGCACCGACGAACGGTCGTATTCGGTACGGATTCGACGCACCATTCCCCCGAACCTGATAAACCTCTTATCATATCCTTATTTTACACTAAAACACTGAACAACGTTTTCTTTGTTGCTATTATATGATATGTTTGATTAAGTTGCTATCATAAAAGTCCAACATTTCACTTATTGTTAATTAAATAAGTTATTAAATCAAATATATCACATTCTACAAAATGTGCATGCGTATGATGGAATTTACATTCAACTATACACAGTTACGCAAACAAATCACGCGACGGCAGCTATATTCCATTGGAGTAGGGCATAAACTCTACAATACATTCATTCTAGACGATAGACTGAATGTGTAATCAGCTGAAGAATAACCGTAGATATAAACAACATCGAAACAAGTGCGTAAATAAATGAATAGACAGTTAATTCAATCAACGAATAAATGAATGATACTTGAAACATACAGTATAAGTGAATGTACCAAGTGATGAATGAACAAATAAAACGTTGTCGATAGGACCTTCCTGCCGTGGCAAGAATACCACATCGAACGACGTCGATTCGCCCGGATTCACCGTCTGAAACAACAATTCCTATCAGTTCATCACACACCTCTTGGAGTGTTCTCAATGAAATTCAACATCAATTTCTTCATTCATATGATATATGTAAATAAATAAATATTGAATAATATTAATTTAAAAAAACATTGATTATCGAACTCACTGTTCATCAATGATTTCAAAAAAAAGAGGAATGAAATGAAGATGAAACCGATCAAGAGCAGTCACTCGTACCTTATGTTCAGGGAACGAGCAGTGAAAATGGACAGTCGATCCGGAAATAGCATCGAATCGGACTGTAGATGCGGTTGGATTATGAATGCGTACCTTTTGTTGATGCGGTACGCCGATTGACCTGCATTTCGATACACTTATTAGAATTGCTTTAATTTTACAAATTATTTCAAAACTACCACATTTCAATAAATGAATAATTCATTCCATCCACGAAACTGATCATAATTAAAACATCAAGAACTTCATTATGTCTTTTCATACGATTCATTCACGCACCATCAATCATGCTGATTACAACTCAATTCCACTACCGAATAAATGTAATCATCTTTGTGTATTCTTTCGTTCAAACAATGAATTTCTTGAGCATACTCAACGATTAAAGTTCTAGTAATATGAATAACTGCGAATTGGGAGAATCGATACTGATAAAATTAACGTAATCCAATGATTCAT